AAGGTAGTGATATGTCATGCCCAAGTAAACGGTGCACGTTTAGTGTAGCTGAAGGAAGATCAGAGCATGACGAAAACTGATCAGTGTGTTTAAAAGTTTTCACAGTATTCGCTTTAGTGACTGATTTAGATCATTCGCAAGCGCTATAGGATTCAGGAGAGATTATATGTTTTTTAGATGGCCTGGAAATTATTGTAAGTAATGTAAATATGGAGTTTAATTAGGTGGACAGCGACAATTATAATTTCACTTGATAGACGTGTAAAGTTTAATGGTAGGATCAGATCCAGTATTAGTTAAGAGCAAATATATTAACGTTAATTAGTGAAAACAAAAATAGAAAGCATGAAAACTAGCAAAATTAATGTATGACGTTGATAAAACCCTATCAGTGACGTGTTATTTATAGCTAATAAATGTTAAATTAAAGGGAAGAACTAATAGGAAAATAAAATAATACCACGTGAAAAAAATTACAACCTATCCCGTTTTCGTTTCTCTCTCCCAGTCCATGTAGTTCCATGATATCTTCATATCCGGTGTTGTCTATTCCGACTCTGGCGTTTAGATCTTCCATGAGATTGGTCAGGTCCTTTTTCGGGCACTTCTCTATGATTGATTCCAGCTTCTCAAAAAATTGATCATTCATGGTGTCGTTGCTATCATTTTTGGGTGCATAACATAAAATACATACCGGCCATATATACCTATATTGGTCCATGTCTCAAAAAATGCTAATAATATAAAGGGATTTAGATATAAAAGGTAGTGGTCATGAGAACTTCAGCAGCTCAGAAATGGCAGGGATCCCCACTGACTATTCTTCCAATCAACCAAGCCATTGATCAGATTCCTGAGCATTTATCTGATATCTGCCACTAATTAGAATCAAAATGATATATCGGTACCGTCGCAAATAGTATAAGAATGTTAAAATTCTGTCGTTCTGTAACTCATCTGTTCCTAAGTGATACCAATGAACTGTCCAATTCACCGTGCCTACAGCAAGCGAGTGGATGAACTTCTTAGGTCTGATGATATTAAAGATCAGGAACAAGGTATTAACAAGAATGAATAAGAGAGAAGATGTCAGTCCGTTTACACTGTTTTATTACAAATAAAATGTTGTTTTCAATGTGTCTCGTTTTAACATGCTCCAGCCAATTTTCGATTTAACAAGGTCGCTCGTCTGATGATTAGGTTTACCCATTTGTGGTGGGGTTACAAGGTGATTTGTTCTATTTGTGATAAAACTTGGTAATGTTCCCACGTCTAATTTGTGCTTTCACATTGGATGTACTGCAGTGAAGATACACTCCAACCCTCTAGTAACTCTATAATTTGCACCTACTATTTGCACTGAATATAATTCACAATCTCCTGAGATACTTCATTAGCCTCACTAGGGTCTGTTGTGTGGAACTTCAGTGTTAACAAGTACACTCATTATAGAAGTGCATTGTTATTCGCTGAAACTTTAATTTCTGGTTGCTAATTGAAGGCTTCTAATCATTTACATCCTTTTTGAGAAATTTTCTGGGCAGTTAGTTTGATTCATTATTAAAAACCTAGATGTGACTTTACAAGCATCCTCGTCGCTTCTCATTCGAGTCATTCACTTTTTAAAAGGCAAGTCGTTTGATTAATCTATTTCTTCAAGCTTCGTCAGCTATTTTTTAAAATTATATCACATCCTATTCCTTGTGAGACGAACTCTGACCGTTTACGAGCATCCGGATTCATTGAGGGACTCATGTGCCATCAACTGATGTGTAAATAATGTCTATTTCGGATACAGAGAGCTCAGTAGTTTATATGAAACATGTTCAAGTGGTGAAATGTACAGCGATGTTTGCTCAATCCCAGTGTAACAGTGAAATGCACACAAATGTCAACAATTGATTTTTGATTACAATAACTCTCCCCAAATCCTATTGGGGAGTCGTGCGTACACATACCTAACGCTCACCATGTTTCTTCGTTCTTAATTCCTACAACTCCGACAATCCCCTTGCGTATTAAGTGCTTGTTTCGTCATTAGTAATTGGTTGTAAAGCTATTGTTTGTTTTATATTACAATTGAATACAACTTTTGACTAAAAGTTGATCGGGGATGTGAAAGAACTTTAACTCGTCAACTTGGCTGTACGCTAGTTCAGTTTTCATACTATGTGAGACTTAAATCTGACTAGGTCCTAAGAGCTGTTAGCAGGACTTGTATACAGCGTCTTCCGTAAGTATCATTATTTTGAGGAATCCTAGTTGGCCCATTCTCAGCCAATCAGCGCTAACAGATAACTGGAGAAGACTCCACCATCTTGTATAAAATTCTAAATACACTAACATTTTTATTTTATTTTATTTTAACACATAAATATCGGTACAAGAAGGCACCAAATACATATGCGCCACACAGATCTCATTTGATATGTGTGAGGGCTGTGATACTGCCCGGGTGCCCAAACCAAAGCAGGTGGTTTTCTTAGGGGGTCACACCCTGAGTCTTTGACTAAAGGTCTAGTCCACAAGGCAGTGGAGCATCGTGAGGAGATGCAGTCCCATGGAAGCCGGTGACCAAAAGTTGGTTCATACGCCATTTGTTCCCGTAGGATACTGGAGCCCATGTGCACCATTGGTTTGGGATCCAGTTAAAGCGCCGGACATTCGCTTTTCGTCCTCTCATTTTTGTAAACAACACCCCCGCCACGAGAAGGCAGTGAGAACATTTTTATTACTGTATTACTATCAGCTTGGTTTACTTGGAGTTCAATTGCGTATATGTCCAAGCCGTGTCATGATTTTCAGGACCAGTCAAGTGAGATAATGTTCAAATTCTATTGCGCAATAAGGGTATCTGGGTCGGATAACGGGAGTCCTAACAGGAACCCAAGTAGGCGATTCAAGATATAACTTACTGTGCATCGATGCGAATGTTTTTTACTACCACTGAAGTTATTGCTTCTATGAATTTGGTGTTCATTTTGCTGTGCTGATGAAATATGGCAACTTCGACCGATGCATGTGTGTGCCTAATCTTACGTTGTAGCTGACTGACTGAGTTTTTTCCCCTGAGTATATGGTCACAAAAGATTTCGATACAGTAGAGTCACAAGTTACAAAGTAATACTTATCCAGCATTTCCTGTTTCATTTCCGTCTGTCTTGTTTCTCTTATTTATATATTGGGTAATTTTTAACCCAAGGATTCAAATTAGAAATGCGAAGAATGGCTTGATAAAAAATAAATTGATATAAGCGTTTAATTAAAAGCACTAAGGAAATCTTTGTTTGCATTGTACGAAATGCTTAATTTTCCTTGAATGCTAACTTCCTCTATTACACTATGAGATCAAAAGTCATCATTCTATTTTATTACGGTTTAGTAGTAGGTCAGCTTGGTTAACACTGATACTACAGGTTCTGTCCATGGTTGTAAGTACTGAAATTGTACATGTGTTCCATTCTTTCTTGTTTAAAGATCACGGAACATTGATTAAACCAAAAGAAATTTTGTTTATTTTGTGCACATTATTTCTTTATATATAGAACTTCACGTCTTTACTCTCATGGAGGTCAAACAAACTAATAAGTTCGTCGTACAAACTTCGGTTGCCTTCTTATCTTCGTACTCAGGAGAATTCCGGTAAAGCATCGCGTCCTGGAGAAAGCAAGAATGATCAAACATCTAATATTCGTAATACTGTTTTAAGTATTTATGAAGATAATATTTATTTTAGCAAAGTTCGAATTGCGGTTCTCATTTTCTCGAAATAAAATACCTGACCCTCCTGGTGGATGGTCTTTTGCTTCTTGGGTTATACTTGGTGCTGTTGGTTTAACATGGGTTGTCTACCACAATTTTTCGATGTATAGAAAGGTCGATTGGAAGGAGTTCACAGATAACTTCCTACAAAAGTAAGGCTTCAACATTTTTCTTCACTTTATTATCTTAGAAACTTGTTAGTTTAGTTGTTCAACCTTTCAAACAGGTAGTGTCCTTAGTTGGTAGGATTCCCTAGCGTTCACATACACACGTGATAATTTTCTCCGCAGAATTGCAACTTCAATGATGATTCTTGTTTCGTCAAGTTCTAGTTTAGCATATTGGTTGTGAAGTTCAATAAGTATTGCAACTCATTGATATTTGGTTAAATTGGTCATACAAATCCTTGTGTATCTTTATATTTATGTAGCACAAAAGACATGATAGTAAGCTTGTATTCAATGTGAACTAATGTCGAACACGAGCTCTTAGTTTACCAATCAGCAAATCAGTTGGTTAACCTTGGTCACTAGTTTGTTTTGGAATGCGAATGATAGTTATTAAGTAATACAACACTCTTCATTGTCTTTGATCCTTTTTGTCTAACTTGTCTACTTGGTTAATGTTAATAGTTTTTTTGCAAACACCAGAAAACTTCAATCCTCAAAGGTCACTTATCCAATGTGAACTATTATTTTGTTAATTTTTAGTGTAAAAATGTATTTAGTATTCAAACCTTATCTGTTCATTTATAATGAATATGACTTAAACCATAGTACACGGGTGTTCTATCCGTGTTTCTTGAGTTGCGAATTCTTCATATGTTTGAACTTTTCACCCTAATACTGTTCTATCTGAAATGTATCTCATCAATATCACCTAAAACATCAGCTACTTGTGATTAAAATACTACCGTAATTTTTCCCGAGATCATAACGTTTACATTAGTACAGCAGTTTTTAAACTATTATTGAGTGTCCGACGGGATTTCGTCACGGATTTAGAAAGTTTGTTTGGCTTTTGCCAACTTGTGGCATAGGCGGGTTGTCAATATTTCAATAAAAGATTACTCGAAGCGTCAGTTCTCTCTGTCCTACTTCATGTGGGTGCAATTGAGGTTAGGAATGTAGGAGACATGCATAGGCTAAATGTTTTTGATCCTAAGTCTTTTTGACGTACTTTACGTATTGACGAGCAACTGACAGGAATGTTGAGGTTAAGCGGAAGACCATCTGCTGCCCACCTCGACGCACGACGTTTACTGGTATAAGGGTAAACTAAAAGAAGGCTAGAGGGAGCCAGACCAAGACATGACATCTGTCCATGTAGTCGTTAACAACTGTACTGGATTATGTTGATAGATACAGACTATCTGGTTGGGATCCATGTGAAAATAGTGATCGGTGTTTGTAGACTTTGGTGGACGTGACTCAGAATCGTTCACAGTGAAATAGACTCACTCTATATTTTCTTAAAATCTTATGCTTTTTTCTATACTTACTATATCCCACTACTACTACGACCACAGGTACAGCTACTGTTAAATTAACTACTCTCAGATTTGTTTTGAGATTTTTTCTATATTGGAAAAATGAACCAATCTATATGTTTCCGGTTCTACATTGCATAGAACTGACTGACGAGTACTTATTTATTTATTTATTTGAACACATGAATATTGGTACAGGGGGGCACCAAATATATATGCGCTACACAAAACAATGATAATTTGAAGAAAAGGAGAAAGAAAAAAATATTTATATATATAAAAAAAGTAAAAAAAAGTTATGGACGTGGGGAATTATAAAAAAGAGAGAGAAAGAGAACAATGATGGGGAAAACGGAAAGGTACAATCAGAAGAGATCTTTCAGTTAAGGAAGAGGCAACCACTTTTTATGAAGAAAGTAAAAGAAGGTTACGGCAGGATCGCCATTGGCTTCTATTCTGAGCCATATCTGATAACGTCTCTAGACACTGCGTTACACCGTCTCTCGGACCCCAACCAGGGAGTCGTGAAGGTCCAACAGAAGCTAGCCCTTTGCAGTTTTCTTTCATACCACGACACCATGTCATACACTGACCACCTCTCCGCTTTTTACAACCAGTCCCAGAGTCGGCAAATAATGCACGACGAGGAATTATCTGGGACGACATTCGTAGAACATGTCCAAGCCACCGAAGTCGGTGTTTCAAGATGGTGACACCAATGGAATTATCGTCTCTGTGCCCGAACACACGAAGTCGAACCTCTGCATTACTAACATGGTGTTGCCACTGGATGTCAGCAATCCTTCGGAGACAGCGATGATCGAACACAGAGAGTCGTCTAACATCCTCAACTCGGAGAGGCCAGGTTTCACAAGCATAGAGCAAAACTGCTCTCACCGTCGCGTTGTAGATCCGACCTTTTACAGCCAGACTAACATCACGAAGGCGCCAAAGATGGCCCAGATTGTCATGAGCCGCTCTGGCTTTCACTATACGTGCATTGATCTCATCACTCACACCACCACCAGCACTTATGCAGCTACCTAGATACACGAACTTCTCGACTACTTCAATGTGCTCACCATCCAGAGTGAGTACAGGATTAGAATCCTGCCAGTCTTGTAGAAGTACTTTGCACTTCGAAGGTGCAAAGCACATACCATACCTACGGACACTGATTGCCAACTGATTAAGTGCGGATTGCATAGCTTGGGCATTCTCGCACAGTAAGACAATATCATCCGCATACTCAAGGTCGAGAAGTCTTTCTCCAGGCAACAGATCCACACCACCATTACTTACATCCGCCAGAGCTGTTTCCAGAATGTCATCGATGGCAAAGTTGAAGAGGAATAGTGAGATTGGGCAACCCTGCCTAACTCCACTGCTTGAATGGAATAGTGGAGAAAGGTGGTTGTATGCCCTCATTCTGCCTAAGGTGTTTGTGTATAAAGCTTTTAGGATGTTAATAAACTTCTCAGACACACCCTTCTTCAATAGACAATCCCAGAGAACAGTCCTGTCCAACGAATCGAAGGCGGCCCTGATATCAAGAAACACTACGATTGTTGGCCTTTGATAAGTATGGCGGTGTTCTAACACTTGGCGGAGGGTGAAGATATGATCAATACATCCTCGACCAGAACGAAACCCAGCCTGCTCCTCGCGAGTCAATCGTTCTCGGGTTCTGAACAACCTACGAAGTATGACGGAAGCCAATAGCTTGGACGCAATCGGAAGTAGACTTATCCCTCGATAGTTGTTACAGAAACGACGTAAACCCTTTTTAAAGATAGGGACAACTATCGACTTATTCCATGACGTTGGTACGCTCTCTAGTTCTCAGACCTTTGTAAACACAACGTCAGTCCCTTAGTCAGAAAGTCACCACCATCTTTAAAAAGAGCCGGAGGTAAGTTATTTGGGCCCGGTGATTTGTAACGTTTCCAGAGTTGGAGTTCCTTGCGGACTTCCGCCTCATTTGGTGGATCAGTCGTCACCGGCTATGGAGGGCAGGACAGTCTGACCGATGTTGCCGGAGCAGCAGGCCAGTTGAACTGCCCTTCAAAGAATTCTGCCCATCGTCCAAGACGTCGATGGATGTTAGTGATTGGCGTTCCGTCATCCTCGCAGATTGTTTCGCTCACACCAGACTTCTTGCTGCCAGTGGCTCGGATGAGTTGGAAGAGCTTCCGGAAGTTACCAGATGCAGCTGCTGCTTCCAGCTCATTAGCCCGCGCCGACCACGAGGCTTCACGGTCCCCACGCAAGCTTTGCTCGATTTCATTACGTAACATCCTTCGTCTGTGGTCGAACTCACGGTCACCCGGAGTAGACCGACGGGCTTCAATGAGCTCTAAGGAACCAGAAGAAATTCAGTGCTTGTAAGCGAACTTGTAGTACTTCACCAGAGTCTTGAATACGGGTCTCGGATAGACAACACACATCAATATTAAGACTTTCCAAAGACATAGCCAGCCCTATCTGTTGTCCAACCTGCATAAGTGTGCGAAGGTTGAAAGCAGCCAGTTTAAATGGTTCACGTGGTTTCAGAAAAACCGCTCCAGTACTCGTATTCGGTGGTAACATACAATTTTCAACCAGGCAGTGACTCGAGAACGCTTAGATAAAGCTGAATTTTCACCTTAGGCGAGCTGCTGTCTAGGTCGAAACGGATACATAAAGTAGGAATAAGAGAGGGTGAATAAATGACGTGGTAAAATAATAATAATAATACGAGTCATTTCAATGTTAATCAGAGAGAAGGGAATATTTTCCATAAGCCAATAGTTAATCATGATTTTAGTGCGTGGGCTGAGATACTGCCCGGGTGCCCAAACCGAAGCAGGTGGTTTTCTTAGGGGGTCACACCCTGAGTCTTTGACTAAAGGTCTAGTCCACAAGGCAGTGGAGCATCGTGAGGAGATGCAGTCCCATGGAAGCCGGTGACCAGAAGTTGGTTCATACGCCATTTGTTCCCGTAGGATACTGGAGCCCATGTGCACCATTGGTTTGGGATCCAGTTAAAGCGCCGGACATTCGCTTTTCGTCCTCTCATTTTCGTAAACAACACCCCCGCTACAAGAAGGCAGTGAGTAGGACTTCCCTGGCAGAGGCTGTATACGCGTGGCCGTGTGAGAGTATTTCGAGAGGGAGGGCGAACCCTCCCCGCTCTCGGCCATACCAGGGCATTTGGGGGCGAGTGTAAACTGGTACAGCTTTCCACTAAAAAGAAAATACACTGTACAAAATACTGAGATAACATTAGAAAGTGAATAGAAGGAAGTATATTCACAAAGTAAATAAGTATGTAGAATAATTAAGTTAAGAAGAACGATATACAATAGAAGATATAGTTCATTCAATAATGGATTTCCTTATAGTTAAAGGAGTTTCACTCATCTTTGCGAAGAATAAACAAGTAAACTACACATTTAACATCTTTTTTCTATTCTTAGCTGTATCTAATTATTCCTAGATCCTGCGTCATTTCGTCTCCAGAACCCCAACCAACGACAAATATCACTCTTACCCAGCTTTCTTTTATCCCTAGCACCATATTAGTAATTGACCTTTCTCCTTATTTCAACCAGTCCTAGTGAATGTAAATGAAACACAATTTGGAACCGCTGGATGACTTCTGTGAAATATGTCCAAACCGACTAAACCATCATTACTACACCCCAATACAGATTGTCGAGCCTCTTCACTACTAACATGGTGTTACCACTAAATGTTAGCAATCATTCAAAGATATCAAATCTTCGGATTATTAAAAAAAACCTTACAATTCGTATAACTTTTCATTTTGATGACTTGAATGTAGCACTCATAATTTGTAACATATTCAGTCGAATTACTTTGAATTAATGATGAGTCTGGGTTAAAATTCTAATGTGAAACTGCTTATGTTTGATAAACAGACTGAAAAATTTATTTGTATAATATGTATGTGCATCTCATTTTATATCAGTATATTTTCGTAGGGGTGCTGTCCATCACTTAGAGGTTGTGAACAAATCTTGGGTTAGAGTCCATCTTCAACCAGGCGCAGATTTCGAGTCGTATGAATCCATTGATCCCAGCAAGAAAATTTATTGGTTTGAAATCGGTTCAGTCGACACTTTTGAAAGAAGTCTACGTGATATGGAGGCTCATATGGGTATAGATCCTATGCATAGGACGTTTATAACCTATAGCAGTCGTCTAAAGCTGTAAGTATCATTGGTTTATTATCATTAATTAACTTTTTGAAAATTAATTTAAAAGGCACAGATTTGTGTACCTAACTCCAAGTCACACTTGAAGTCCGAGGACTCTGTAATTATCAAAATTGAAGTAGGTAGATTGGCGTACAAACTTGTAACTTAATGGCTAAAAGTTAAATTTTCTAGCCGCTGGCACATCGGAGAGCACTGTAATTAACTTTGATATGAAGTTATTCTACATATTTTTATCAGTTTACAGTGTGGCAACTCGCACTTAGCAATAAATAGAATGATTGTCTGTCAGTAAATCATTTCATACACTTAATGGACTTTGTTGTTACAGAAATAAAATGATACGTCTTGTAGAAGCTACTATTTATCACGATTTATTTCAACGTTTGAACATTATTTATTCTGATCTCATTAATTCTGTCGTTTACATATGTGGCCTTGAAATGTGTGTATGGTTATGTGTCTCTATGGTTACTTGTATCTTTCATGTCTATAAATTTTGATTCGCATTTTAATTAAGTTGAGTAGATACAGTTGAACTCTCCACTTTTCTTTATTCTCTGTTTGCATTAACGAATGTGTGAAATATGTATATTCAAAATCATTTTCATATTTGGCATTTTTTATTCCATTATTTACTAACGCGAATTAAGTCAATAAATATACACAAAGTTAAGTGGGATATACATTTCATTCGCGTCGGTCTCATCTGATCATAATAAAGTCAGTACATTGCGACGGTTTAAAACCTTCCTGTCATTCTGCTTTGACAGCGCATCCAACTAATAATCATTCAGTTAACTAAGAAAAATTTCATACACTTGTCAGTTATTCACTTCCTATTCCAAAGCTTGATGAGGTTTGAATGCTTTGGGGTTCACTACAGTCTCAAGTAAAACCATTCGCCGTCGTTAGTACCTGCACAATACTTGGACAGTTTACAGTAGAAAACTTATTTGTTATTGGTTCAAAATATTTTGCTATCAATATAATATTTTATTAAACATAAATTGCTAAGCGTTCAGCTGGTTTTATTTTTTACTTGAATTAATCATGTACTTTATATCAAATAGTGAAACAACTTTATTCGAATAAGTGGTAACAGTGTGAAATAAATGTATGTTCAATGTCACCAGAATTGTATCCTCCTGAACTGTACATAATCTCTTTAAAACAAATGGATGGATAAATTTTTTTGTGTTACAATCAAAATGTGCGTTTCTGCGAAATGGAATATTCAGTATCCAAATAGTAGTTTTCTCATATTTTGTACATCACTTTCCATTTGTTGATATTGACAAATATGGCTTAACCGAAAGCTCAGTGAATATTTGATCGATTTTGTAGATGTCTCTATGAAAGCCAAATGTTTTTTCTGTAAACCTAGCTTCTTATATTTTCACGATGATGGATTCTGATTTTCTTCATGTAGTATTATGTATATATATCTCAGAAACCAATACTCAGTGGGACTTGGCGATTCTTCTCGGGCTTATTATTCACGAGTATTAGCAGGATTTCGAATCCTATTGTTTTACCTCTCGTGTGTCCATGCTCTTATTCTTTTTTCTCATTTGTAGATCAGATGTTTTATATGGCATTTTCTATATTTCTTTGTTCTTAATGGCTGTATATTCCTTACGGCCTGCATCTGGTGGCGTTGTACGAAAGGTAAGCAGTATTTTTCGTAGCACGAAAATCAGTTAGTAAATGTATTAAGGGATTTAAGTGTGAATGTATATTGGTGTTATGTATATACAACCGATTCCTTCTTTTCCTAGTCAGGACTGGGTTCAGGATTATTCAATTTCGGACAGTCACCT